CACTCTTTCGATTCCTTCCTCCTCCTCTGCGGCTGATTTTTCTTGCTTTTTTTTGTTGGGAGAGGAAAAGTCACGAAATTTGTTCTCCGCAACGAGTCTCTGCTTCGTCTTTTACCTAGCTTGGCCCTTGTTTCTCTTTTGGTCCTTGGATAATCTGAGCCGTCCGTTCTAGAGATCAACGATAAAGATGAGTTTCTACTTTGACGCACGGCACCGGACGAGCTAATTGGTCCGTGCATTACCGGAATGGGGAAAATAAAACAATTTCAATAAATATTTTTGGTTTTTTTCCCAAAACAAATTTTTATTATGGTATTTTACGATTTTCTAAAAACGTTTCATATATAATCCCGTGTACATAATGTCAAATAGTTTGAAATTCAAATTCTGGATTTTTAGCAGACCGATTTTCGGTTTAATTTTCGTGTTCATCTAACCTATTTTCCATCGGTTGAAATTCAATACGTGTAGTAAATTCCGCGATGAAAAAAATACCACGTTGACAAAATTTATTAAATTGGATTATTTATTTGGTAAATTAAAAATGTATTTATTTGTTTATGTGTCATGATTTTTTTTTGGTGAGATTTTCCTAAATTGATATAATAATCAAATGAATAGCTTTAAATAAACGAAATTTAAAAAAATACACGAAGCTTAACATAACCAAATTGGAAGTATATGCCTTTATCTTAACAAAAAATATTATTTATAAAATATTATCGTAAAATCATAATTGATTTAAAATTCTAAATTAAATAGGTGTTAAAGAGGAACTATGACTATCAAGATATATAACTGATTGTTTTTTCTTATTAAATGTGTTTTTTAAAATCATTTCCCAATATTTTATTTTACGGACATAAAAGTTATATGAAAATTATCAGATAAAAAAGGTTTACGTCATTTTCAGATATAATCATCAGAGCGAAGCGATTTAGGGTTCAAGCTTCTTCCAACCAAGCCAGTTTGCTAAAGCTGTGCAGCGGTGATGGAGATGGAGAAGTTCGCCGGAATTGGCAACGAGGTTAGTTCAATCGAATTCGCCGAGCCAAGGAAGAAGCAGAAAATGGAGTCTGATCCTCTATTTAACAATCTCGACGATGGTTGCCTCATGCACATCTTCAGCTTTTTATCTCCTATTCCAGGTAATTGGTTCATCTGCGCATGAAATTTATATGTTTGTAGGCTGATTCTTGGGTTCCTTTGGAGTTGATCCACTTTCGTCTGATGTACTTGTTAGATTGTGGGTTTCTAGTCTCGTTATTGATGTTGTTGTTCCGTTGCTCTCCTTGTTAGATCTCAATTGGGATTCTAGGGCTTTCTCGCTAGTCTCTCTTCTTTCGGTTTTGTGCAGCTGAATACTGGACTTGTTTACAGTGTATGACAGTGTTTTCTGATGAAATGTAAATGGGTGTGTGGCAGCTGAATATTACTGATTGAAAGTTGGTGTTTTTGGCCTTGCAAGCAGTTCGGAATCTCCATCATTAGATTTCTGAGGAATTGTGGAATATATTCATGTTAGAATTGTCTAATAGCGTCTGTGGTTCAAGCATGTTAAACTATCATGACAGAAGCCTTATGATCATACCCGAATTCTGCAATGGCTTTGTGGAGCCTATGTGCTCAATGAGCACTGCTCATGTAGCTGTTTTTCAGCAACTGGTACTGAATCCTTGAATTAGCCATGGAGCGTTCTTCAGCTCTTGCTGCTTCTCTGATTCCTATGTATCTCTTCTCTTTAAGCTTGCTTCTAGAGGAGAAGAAACAATTTGTGTATATATTGGTGTTACTTTTCCACAGTTTTCCTAACGAAGTAGAAAAGTGTTAAAAGGACGTCCAATTTTTTTTCCCGTATTGTACGATTATATGTTTTTAATGTTTTGATACTGCAAAAGGATTTTTTTGGCTTCTACTATTGAGAGATGTTAAAGAGGAACAAGAACTCTGTCTTATGTTAATCTCAAGTTGTTTAGTTTTCATATTTTAGTGGCATGAGAGTTCCTTGATTGATATCATTTTGTTTTTTCATTACAGCCCTTTCAACCCTCTTCATGTACTTTTGATGAGTTTGCAGATCGGTACAACACAGCCCTCGTTTGCCACAGATGGCATTACTTGGCATGTCACCCTCGATTGTGGCTACGGGTAGACCGTTCTGTGAAGGATTTATCTCAGCCTGGAGTTTTCCCCAATATCGAGTCAGCTGTATCTGCAGCAAGGTTTGTGAGATTAATGCTGAATGCATTTTGGTAATAAAAACACATGAATCTGACCAAACTGTCACCGCTAGACCTGGAGATACCATTTTAATAGGTGCTGGTGGAAGTCATCGTGTTTCTAATATTCAGATAAAAAAGCCTCTTTGCCTGGTATGTCCTGAAATTTTATTTTCAAAGTAATTAGGTTTGGTAATTAATTGTAGAACTACCGATACGAGTTGATTGGCCTTAAATTTCCTGGTGGTCCCTTTTTTTTCTTCTGGTTTCTCCTTTTTGATTCAGAGAGAGATTCAATAATGGGACAAGTATTGTATGTTTTATCTATAACTGAACCATTAAAGTAGATTGCAATATTATGGATCTGACTTCATGTTAAAATATCTAGACTTACATCTATATATGCAATAAACTTCTGATTTCCCGAAGTTAAGCTGACTAAAGAAGAACGTATGGTGCCTTTCTTTTGTGAAAGGAGAAAGGATACCCATCTAATGCCATCCCTCTGGGAATAGGGAATCAAAGTGGATCCTAGAGATTTGAAGCTGACACATCAAGATTTTAGAGTATCTAAAACCTATAGGCAGAGTTGGTTGAGTTTTACAAGTCAAAACGGAATCTGTAAGCTACTTACTTCTGTTTAGGTTAACAAGCCTTCCTACTGTTGGCTTCTGGTTCACATTGATTCTCTTAGGGTAACTTGAGAGTTGAAGAATATTAGCTTTACACTTGAAGAAGAAAGAATCAGTAGTGAAAATCTCATGAACCTGAGGAGAACTCAGGAAGAGAATTGAATAAATTTTACCAGAAAGTCAGAGGAGTAAATGTATGACTGTAATCTTTCTTTTAGAAAGCTGCGTGAGAAAAGCTGCGGACAATGAAAAAGCGTGTAAGATGGAATTATGACATATGCATACAAATGTGTAGAATGCAGATGAAATCACACTAGTGATGAATCCTGGTCATGAAATCATTCTGGGTCGGATCCAGAACTTTAGTTTCATGCTGGGAGCAGATTTTCCAGACTGACAAGAGAGTATTATTAGAACAACCAAATCTGGTTTTTTTAGTTGTGGTGGTTCATTAAAGTCTCTGGCACTCTGCATCATGAGGCTGAAAGGGTTGCCGATTTTCTTTTCAGATGAATTGGGATCTGAGGCCATAGGTTCCTACTTACATAGTACATACCATTTTTATCTCATCTCTGCTTTGTTCAGATTGGTGGAGGCGAGCTTCCTGATGAAACTACCCTCATCTGCTCTCGAGGTTCAGACAGGTTCAGTTTTTTACATTCCGTTTGAATCGTTTTTCGAACAGTAATGAGTTTCGCCCGTACAAACTTGTCTGCTGTTTTCTATAATCCAAAGATCATCATCGGTATATGGCTTCCTTGTTTTGTTTTTGGATTTTTTGAGCAGTGCCCTGGAGTTGCTATCAACATGCAAGCTAGCAAATCTAACAGTGAAAGCCGAGCTGGGTTGCTGTTTGCTCCATAGGAGTGGAAGGCTAACCATTGATGGATGCGTCCTCCAGTGCGAATCGAACCCATTAGACTACCTCTCATGCCCCATCGTGACAACGGCCGGGAAGGAAAACATCTTAGTTGCTCCAGCCGTGAAGGCTCAGCCCGAGAATGGAACCGTTGTCGAGAAGACAAGGGGCGATAGTGTGAGCGTTTTGCAAACCCGAATCGAAGGAGGGGCAAAGGCGGTTCTGACAAACGGAGACTTGGTTCTGCAGCGTGTTCGAGTCATATACTCTCGGGCATACCTCTACTTCTGGTTTGATGTAGATTCACAGTGATAGCTGATTGTTGTTGTTGATGTCCTTTGTGTTAATCTGTAACATTGGTTCTTCATTCTTGCGTTTCCCTTAGGTTGTCTCCATTGTCTGTCAACAACAACAAAAATATGTCTCTTTGTAGGCTCATGCAGAATAATCAATGTGTTAATTTAAATCTTGAGATTTCAAAATCAGTTTCAATTTCTTATCCGAAATGTGTAATTTATGTGTATGATATATATGTATATATGTGCATGTATGTATCTCTTTTTTGCAGAATGCACAAAACAAAGTGAAGATTCCCAGTTGATAAAAATGGACCAAGTTCGCAGATTGCGATTTTCATTTTTTTGTAGTGTTTGAGTTTCCTTCACAGTATTACAGTTTTCTTTAGAAAAATATTTTTGTATTTGTACATGATTGTATATATTAAATAATTTGTGTTTTTTATTTATTTTTAATTAAATAAAGAGAATTCACATGGAGCCGTTATGGACTTAAAAAAGAGAGACGTTTCTCCATAAATTTCGAAAGTCAGGACGCCGAAAATGAATTTATTATTAAAAACCCTACACTACACTGGCAAAGCAGAGCCCCACTTTCTTCCTCCCTCCGCAGCCACCGGTTAAAACCCTAAAAAATTCTCGGAGGAAATTTGTCAGCAGCCATGGAGTCACTGATTCTACAGCTCCACGAGATTGGCGCCGTTAAATTCGGCAACTTCAAGCTCAAATCCGGAATCTTCTCTCCCATCTATATCGACCTTCGCTTGATCGTCTCATACCCATCTCTTCTTCAGCACATCTCACAAACCCTCGTCTCTTCTCTCCCTCCCTCCGTCTCCTACGACGTCCTTTGCGGCGTCCCTTACACCGCGCTGCCCATCGCCACCGTTGTCTCTGTCTCCAATGGCCTCCCCATGCTCATGCGTCGCAAGGAGATCAAGGACTATGGCACCTCCAAAGCCATTGAAGGGACCTTTCAAAAGGACCAGACCTGCCTCATCATTGAGGACCTAGTCACGAGCGGGGCCTCCGTGCTCGAGACGGCAGCGCCGCTCCGAGCCGCCGGGTTGAAGGTGAGCGATGCGGTGGTTCTGATCGACCGTGAGCAGGGAGGGAGGGAGAATCTGGCCGATAATGGGATTAAGCTCCACTCGATGATCAAGTTGACGGAGATGGTTAGGGTTTTGAAAGAGAAGGGGAGGGTCGATGAGGAGATGGAGAGAACTGTGCTGCAATTTTTAGAGCAGAATCGGAATGTTAGTGTTCCGAATGTAGAGAAATTGGGAGCTAAGGTTAGGGTTCCAGGGTTTAAAGAGAGGGCGGAAATGGCGAAGAATCCGACGGGGAAGAAGTTGTTCGAGGTTATGGTGAAGAAGGAAACCAATCTCTGTTTGGCTGCAGATGTCGGAACCGCCGCCGAATTGCTCGACATCGCCGATAAGGTTACAAGATTAAGATTTCACTCTGTCTTCCATTAAATGTTTTCTTGCGTTTTCCCGGACAATTTTATCTTCTCTTGAATATTTGGTCATCACGTTGTCATCTCTTCCAAAACATTCATGGGAAGAACAACACAGAGAAAGCTCAGATTACCTTGGATTATTACAGGAGAAGCAAATTCGTTCTTTGCCAAATTGTTAGAACTATATGATGCAGTAAAATGAAAATGACACATTTCTCATAGGCCTTGAACAGGGCAAGAATAGAAAAGGTTCTCTTCTTGTGTGAAATGACCTCAGAAACGAATAATTCGCAACTGTGGATGGAAAATGGATGGTATTCATTTGAAGAATCTTATTCGATTAATTCTTCTTTTGGTATTAGGTGGGACCAGAAATTTGCCTCTTGAAGACCCATGTTGACATATTGCCTGATTTCACCTCGGACTTCGGCGCTAAACTGCGTGCGGTAAGATGTTTTGTTAATTTGTCAGCATCATTCATACACAATTCATGTGAAAAGGTTATTTCTTGTGTCGTATGGATTGCCGGTTATGTGTTTCTCTTGACTGTTTTTGTGATAACGGTGCCCTTTGATGGGATGTGTCGATCTTTTCCCTTCATACTTTGAATCTCTTCCACGAAAATATTTCTCTTACAAGTCTTCAGCTTTTGTTTATTACAAGCTACACTCCCAAATTTCTCAAACCCCCGCCGAACTAACAGTGTTATCCATTGTTAATTGCCGACATTTTGTTGAGCTGTATTGTCCTGCTTGCTTTGATTTCTAACTTGATTTTGCTTCAGATTGCAGACAAGCACAACTTCCTCATATTCGAGGATCGCAAGTTTGCGGACATAGGTAACACAGTTACCATGCAGTATGAAGGGTAAGTTTTTTTTATGCCACTTAGCCTTTGTTGTTGTCATTTCAGTGAATTTCCACTGATCTGGGGCCATTTTTCGTGCGATGTTTTCAGTGGTATCTTCCATATACTAGATTGGGCTGATATTGTCAACGCCCATATAATATCAGGGCCGGGAATTGTAGATGGCCTGAAATTGAAGGTATACGACCTGCTTTCTTTGAAGGGTACTGTTATATGAACGGCTTGATGTTATCTTCTCTAACAACTCCTGATTTCTGACTTCATGATCAGGGTTTGCCTCGTGGAAGGGGTTTGTTGTTGCTGGCCGAAATGAGCTCGGCCGGTAATCTTGCCACAGGAGATTACACTGCAGCAGCAGTGAAAATCGCGGAGGATCATTCTGATTTTGTGATTGGATTCATCTCTGTTAATCCCGCGTCTTGGAAGTGCGGACCGGTAAATCCAGCTCTAATCCATGCAACACCTGGAGTTCAAATGGTGAAGGGCGGTGATGCACTCGGTCAACAGTATAACACCCCATACTCTGTGAGTCACACTCCCTCCCTCCCTAGATCTTTTGATCCAATGCATATTTTGCTCGCTCCTCTCATTTTTCTTGGCCTTGTTTCAGGTGATCAATGAGAGGGGAAGCGACATCGTAATTGTGGGCCGGGGAATCATAAAGGCAGAAAACCCTGCAGAGACGGCTCGCGAGTATCGGATTCAAGGATGGAACGCCTACTTGGCGAAATGCTCTCAGTAAATTCGGTCCCTTTGCTTCCATTGCTTTGCCTGCCCCTCCGGGATGAACGGGTAAATAAGTTTCGTCCCGGCTCTGCACCTAAGCATGAGGTTCTTTCCCCCCAGCATGGGTTTATGGGTCTGGATGGATGTAAGTTTTCGTGTTATTCAATAAATTGCGTATCGATAGTTTGTACGATGATGTTACTCGAGAATCTCAAACTGGTTCTGCGGTTAAGATTTTTACTTTTGAGTTCATGGTCGGATTTCGAATCCTAGAATCCAAACCGCTCAAATTAGGGAACTAACAATATCTGTGGTATGCGAACTGTTCGGTTTGATTGGATTTGGTTATTTAGGTTTAGAAAACAAATTTAATATTGAATTCTAGATCCGAAAATATATTCCGTATCCTTTTAACGTTTTAAATAATTTAATATTTCTTTATACCGTAATCTAATTCACTATAAAATTATAAAGAGTTTTAGTGTATAGATACTTTATATTGTTATATTTCTTATTTTATTTGGCTTTATCTTTTTTTTTTATATATATATTAGGATAGAAAATAGGATTTTTACGTAATTGATATCAAAATAATTTAAATGATCTCATTAGATTTAAATTTTAATTTATAAATTTAATTTAATTAAATTTTGAATGATATACGTTTTAGTTAAACTCCTATAATCCATCGTATTTAATTACTAATCAAAGAGCCGTGGATCTTTTTCGTATTTATAGAAGAAAGAACAAAAACATATTATTCTTTTGTAATTGATTGAATTGCAAAATAAAATATAGGTGTTGAATGGAATGTGGTTTTCGGAGTTTTTGGATTTTAAAAATTGAAAAAATCGACAATCAAGTTTTTTAAATTTTAGTTTTCTTAAAAACCTGAAAATCTATTTTATGGAAAAAATCAACTAAAAATTCAAAAGTACAATTCTTTAGATTTATAAACTTATAAAAACCAAAAACTAAAAATTAAAAACCAAAAACTAAAATAAAAAACTCAAAATAAAAACGCATAGTGTTGATAAAACTAGTGTAAACGTTATACAGTTTCTTCTATACATATACAAGTACATAAACCTATATGAACATTCCTAACCCTAAAAATGTCAAGTTCACCTTAAAAAAGTCATGTTATATAGGTATCAATTTTTTTTGTTTGAAAATTTCCGATTAGAACCGGCTTAAACCGGGCCCAATTAATTAATTGGACCGGTCCTTGGATATTTCTCAGATTGCCTAAACCGGAATCCAGAGATAAACTCTTAACCCTTTACTTTCGTTCGAGTCCAAACCAACTGCTCCTTTAACGAACGTGAACCCTCTAACCATTGTAGCACTGCGGAGAGCCTCAACCTCAAGTTCTTCGCAAAACCCTAATTTCACCCGTTTTGTGTTAGATTGGGGTTCCCCCCATGGCTGACGGCGGAGAACCCGACCACAAACTCTGTGGATTTCTCTGTGCCGTCGTTTCGGTCAATTCTCGTGATCTTCCACATGACCTTTCAGTGGGCTCTTCTTGTCTTATCTTCAGTTATGAATCACGGACCGGATTCAAAACCGACAATGGTGTGATCTTATCGTTAATTGATTCGAATTCCAATATCAATTCCCGATTTAGGTCGAGCAACGGAGTTCGGAGCCCGGGTGATGAAGCTGCCACCATGGATGTGGAGGCTGGAGCTTTGGAGAGTTCTCCAAAATGCGAAAGGATCACAGAGGGAGAGAGGTCATGGAAATCAACGGAGACCCAGAAATCGCAGGACACGGGACGGGTAAGGAAGAGGGGGAGGAGTATTGGTATGGTGAATGGAAGCATAAGCGTGGTAAAGCAGATTCAAGCTTTGGATGCACACAATTGTCTGAAGATCATGTCACGTGTGGTCTCGGTTGATAAGGGTGATAATGGAGAATATAGAGCTGTTGTGCTTGTGGATGTTCTTGTGCCTGTTGCCCTGTGGTGTGGTTGGCAGTTTCCAAAATCTCCGAAGATTGCTGCTTCACTGTTTAAACACTTGAGGTAATTTGTTTATGTTGCGTCGTTTGCTTGGTTATGCAGAGCTAGGGTTATCAATGTTCTGTGGCAAACTCAGGGTTAACAATGTGGTAGGTCGATGTAAAGGAGAGTGTTATTAGGCTCGGGTTATCGAGATGAACGTTGATGCTAAGAGTTGGATTTTATTAGAATGTGGAATTCATGATTCGGGTTTTGTGTGTGATTCCATTGTATGCTTGGTGTGCCTTAACGTGGGTCATACTCAGTGCCATTGTCTATGATTGGAAAGAATGCAATGAGATGTGTCTTTTAGGATTCATGTTTACGAATGCTAAATATATTCTGAGATTTGACTGTCTTGTTGCTGTTGCAGTTTTTGTTTATGTTATTTTGACTTATTTGTGTCTTTGTATCACCAAACAGCATCATGTGACATGTAGCTGGATATCTGTACGTTGGTCTCTGCTCTTCTAGTTTTCCAGTTTCATTTCTTCACAGAAGATGACTACAGCTTCTCGTGAATATTTACCATATTTTATTGACATTAAAACAAGGGAATCCGGTAGAACAGTTACAGGGAAGGACAGAGGAAGTTCGGAGGCATAAATAGGATTTGATATCGGATAATGTGATAACTTTTACCACTTCTCTTGGATGACAGACAAGTTTACATGTGGATGATGAAAAATCAATTTAGTTCTTCTTTGTGACTCCATTCATACTCGTATTGTTATGTTGAATGAGAATATTCTTAGCGTTCTGCTAACAAACATGGGAACTTCCTCTGCGGAAAAGGATTAAAAGGTTTTTTTCTTCAGTATCTAATGCAATCTAATTCTTTGCAGCTGCGACTGGAAATTGAGAAGCTCAATACTTAAGGGTGAAAGTTACTGGAAAGAATCCAACGGAAGTATAAAGGATGTCTGGAATATTTCTGACTGCCATGTCCTTGGGTGCAAGTTATGTTGTGGTGCCTATGATTCTTCAAAAAGAAAGTTATTTAACCTTCATGAAATTTTTCAGAGCTTGCCCAGCCCAGGAAGTAATGGGATGCTTAATTCTACTGGACTATCATCATCTGCCGACTCTTATTCGTCGGGTATTTGGGATCTTTCAGATGATATTTTGATTAGTATATTGCAAAAACTTAGCCCAAAGGATCTCATTAGCGTTTCAGGGGTTTGTCATCATCTAAGATCATTGACCTCTTTAATAGTGCCATGTTTGAAGCTGAAATTGTTTCCTCATCAGCAGGCAGCTGTCAAATGGATGTTACAGCGTGAGCAGAAGGCTGAAGTTTTATCGCATCCACTATACCAGAAGTTCGACACTGAAGATGGATTCTGTTTCTATGTAAATGTTGTCTCTGGTGACATTGTATCTGAGGCTGCTCCCACTTTCAAGGATTTTCGTGGTGGCATGTTCTGTGATGAACCAGGTCTAGGTAAGACAATAACAGCTCTATCACTTATCCTAAAGACTCAAGGAACGATGGCTGATCCACCCGATGGAATTCCAGTCATTTGGTGTAAACATAATGACGATGAAAAGTGTGCTTATTATGAGTACGCGAGTGATCAGTGCACTTCTTCTAGTATGTTTTCAGCAAAGAGGGTTCTGAGTCCAAGTGGCTGCAGAACCCAGTTTTCCCCTGATGTCTTTAGTCCGGTGTGGGAGTCAAGTTCTTTGCCACGCAAGCAAGCTAAGTTGATGGATCCGAGTGATAGAAGTACTGAGTCAGAAGTTCAACGTAGAAGGAGCTTGGGTAATGTCAGAAAAAATCTTTTTCAGGCTTACGATGGGGTATTTAAGTTCTCTAACAGTGTGGAAGCTAAACAAATTGGTGACACGAAAAAGCATGGATTCTGGAATCTGAAAAAGTTATCTTCGAAAGAGCAAGATGTTATGAAAACTGGTCGCAAGAGAAAAGGTCCTACAGATTTGGATGTGCAAAATGAAACCTGGATTCAGTGTGATGCTTGCACAAAATGGCGGAGAATATTAGATGAAGGTGTATCTGTTTTTGATGCTGCCTGGTTTTGTAGCATGAACACCGATCCTGAACATCAGCATTGTGAAGATCCAGAAGAATTGTGGGATAGTTGTCAGCTGATAAAATACTTGCAAGGGTTTTATGCTAAGGGAACCTCTGGTGAAAAGGGTGAGAATGTCTCGTTTTTCACTGCTGCCCTTAGGGAACATAAGTCTTCAATAAACTCAATGGCAAAGAAAGCTTTAATGTGGCTTGCTGATCTCCCCCCAGACAAGCTCTCACAAATGGAAACAGTTGGTTTACTCAGTCCGGTGTTGGGTAGTTATTGGAGTAAGGATATCGATGCATTCCAGAGAATATTTCAAGCATTTGGTCTTGTGAAGAGAGTTGAAAAAGGTGTAACTAGGTGGTACTATCCGAGTTTTCTTGACAATTTAGTATTTGATTTGCCTGCCTTAAGAGTTGCTCTGTGTCAGCCATTGGATACATTCAGGCTATATTTGTCAAAAGCATCTCTGATTGTTGTGCCTGCAAATTTAGTTGATCACTGGAAAACACAAATCAAGAAACATGTCAGTCCTGGTCAACTACGGGTTTTGATCTGGACTGACAACAGAAAGCCTTCTGCACACAGCCTGGCTTGGGACTATGATGTTGTGATTACCACTTTTAACCGCTTAAGTGCAGAATGGAGCCCCCGGAAGAAAAGCCCACTGATGCAAGTTCATTGGCTTAGGGTAATGCTAGATGAAGGACACACTCTTGGGTGTAGTCTCAGCTTGACAAATAAATTTCAAATGGCTATTTCTCTGACAGCTTGTAATCGTTGGCTACTGACCGGGACACCAACCCCTAACACGCCAAATAGCCAACTCTTACATCTCCAACCTTTACTAAGGTTCCTTCAAGAGGAAGTGTATGGAGAAAATCTAAAGTTTTGGGAATCTGGCATTCATAGACCATTCGAGGCCGAGATGGAGGAGGGTCGCTTACGTTTACTGGAGCTGCTTCAGAGATGCATGATAAGTGCTAGAAAGAAAGACCTGCTAATGATTCCTCCGTGCATCAAGAAAGTGACTTATCTTAGTTTCACCCAGGAGCACGCAAGAAGTTATAACGAACTGGTGGAAACAGTTAGGCGTAATGTCCTATTGGCTGACTGGAACGATCCATCTCATGTTGAAAGTCTGCTAAACCCAAAGCAGTGGAAATTTCGAAGTGCGACGATCAGAAACTTAAGATTATCCTGTTGTGTGTCTGGGCATATTAAGATGACTGATGCAGGTCAAGATATCAAAGAGACTATGGATGATTTAGTTAAAACTGGGCTCGATCCTTCTTTGGACGAGTATTCTTTGATTAACAGTTGCCTTCTTAGTGGCTGTAACTGTCAAAGGTATTAACTTAAATCCAATGCGTGTCATTCATATTGTGCATTATCAAAGCTTTCTAACCGAGTCTTTTTTTCTTTTGTTTTCTTTTTAATCAATCATTAGATGCAGAGAATGGTGCCGATTACCTGTAATCACTCCATGTAGACATCTACTATGTCTTGATTGTGTTGCTCTAGACAGTGAAAGGTGTAATTTTCCTGGCTGTGGATGCTTATTCGAGATGCAAACTCCGTTGGCTCGGCCTGAAAATCCAAATCCAAAGTGGGCTGTGCCTCGGGATCTTATCGAATTACAACCTTCATATAAGCAGGTAAGTTTTTGTGCACAGATACTATATATAATAAACATATGATTCCTGGGTGGTAGACTCTAATTCTGTTCTTTTATCATGCAGGATGACTGGAACCCTGATTGGCACTCTACCATGAGTAGTAAAGTCGCTTACCTCGTGGGAAGGTTGAGAAAGTTACAGGAGAGTAATAGAAAAAATATTTTATCTTTCTGTAAGACTAACTCCAGAGCAAATTTTGAACAAGACTTCAATAGTCTTGGCTTTGGGGCTTGGATGGGACTTGTTGACAAAGTTCTGATTTTTTCTCAATTTCTCGAGCATATTAATGTGATCGAACAACAGGTATTGACCATCTCATACTTATCAACTTGTTATCTAATTTTCTCACTGGTTTTGCGTTTTAAAATTTCATATTACTTCCTTTTGTTAGTTGATTGCTGCGGGCATCAAGTTTGCTGGAATGTACAGTCCAATGCATTCAGCTAATAAGGTACCTGGTCTGCTTACGTGCGTGCATCTTCTCTTATATTATGTTTGTTTGTTTATTTGATTGCCACGGTTAATGAGTATTTGTCTACTTTCGGCTATTCAGATGAAATCTCTGGCCACGTTCCAGCAAGATCATGAGTGCATGGCACTTGTGATGGATGGAACGACGGCGTTAGGTCTTGATCTGAGCTTTGTGACACAAGTATTCTTGATGGAACCTATCTGGGATAAAAGGCATGTTTTTCAGTAAATTTATGTCAAGATACATCATACATCGACATATTACAAAATGGAATTTGATATTATTTCCCTTGTCTGGTTTTGCTGATTATTTTCGTATATGGAATATAATAACAGCATGGAAGAGCAAGTCATAAGTCGTGCTCATCGGATGGGTGCTACACGTCCTATTCATGTGGAAACCTTAACAATGCGTGGCACTATTGAAGAGCAAATGATGAGATTCCTAGAGGTATGCCACTTCTCTCCATGTCGGATTTTACTTCTTTCTCTCTCGATCTCTTTCCATCCTTCTATGCTTTGAGTTACAACTTCTCATCGGACCGACCCTATTCGCATAGAAACCTTATAATATCTCATGGGGAAACTAAACTAGAATTCTTGCGACCCATTTGTGTAGTTTTTCTTTTGTGGATCCATAAATGTCCGTATGTGTTCGAGAGGATTGGGTTTTTTCCGCAGGATGCCGAGAAGAGAGGAGGGGTATGGAGAGAGGAGCAGGAAAAACCCGACAAGGAGAAACGGAACCATCGTTCGATGCATGATTTTGCGGGAAGCAATTACTTGGTCAATCTCGGCTTCGTTCGAACTGATGTTATTGTCACAACATGACTCTAATGCCCCGCTGCGTTTGTGTACAAAGATAGAATGGGTCATTGATTCTTGACTCCATTCCCCTTGGAGCTAATATATAAATACCAAATCATTCAATGGAAAAAGCAGACCATTTTTTTTATTCTGTCTATATCTTTTAATTTTTCCTTTTTTTCGTTAATGGAATGCATTTTGGTAAATCGAAAATGCCAAAATTGGTTTAAAATTTAATAAAAATAAGTCTGTTTCAACAGTCTATATATGTTACTGATTTATACATTTGAAGTTATTGTGAGAAATTTCCAAAAAATTTTGGTTGGAGTCACATGCAAAAACGTTGTTCTTCCTCGCAAAGAAAAAAAATGGTTCGTCTCTTTTTTGTCGGAGTGCCATTCATGCACTCCCAAAAAAAAAAAAAAAAAAGTACCAATTTTAGATGGAAATAAAACGAGACGTGGAGGAGAAGAGAACCCGCCTCTGAGATTCGATCATCTGGTATATTCCTCTCTTCATATTCTTCAAAGCAGCCTCCTTTATATGTATTTTTTCCCCTAATTTCTTCTTCATTTTTAACTTTGAATGCTCAGATCAATTCTTCGTTATGACGAATTCATCCGATTCAAGTCTTTCTGAGAGGTACCCATTTCAAGTTTTCGACTTTCTTCCATTTCGATTATTCCTATGATCTTCGCCTCTCCTCGACATGCTTGTGCTCGTCCTATATGCGTCTTTGACTTTGTAGTACGTGTGTATTTGCATATGCGTGTATCAATTCGCACGCTATTTGTATTTGGTCATCTGGGTATTTCTCGGGGTTTGCTTCAGATTTCAATTCACGGTCTGTGTCTGTGATCTTCCCTATAACAATCATTTTCCAGTATCATATGATTTTTGGTTCTTTAGAAACGATTGTAACAGTTTCTGCTGGAAAAATCGATACGAATGATGTTGTTATCTCCCTAAATCGTGTTCGTTTTTCATGTTCATTAGATTTGTAGCCTCCTCTTACTATTTGCAATTTTGCTTTCCTTTTTAGTTTGTGTACTGAAAAGCTTCGATCTTTAGAGTTTATGTTTATGCCCACCTGGTTTACTTGCCAGGTTCAATTGGTTGATATGTTCGATTGTGATTTCAAACTGAAAATTATTGATTAGAGTTTAACCCCACATGGTTTCTCTGTCAGGTTTGGTTCATTTGAGATGTTCGTCTTTGAAAATTATTGGGTTTTGGAGTTAAATGTTAATGCCCATTTGTTTTTTTAATCTGTTGGATTGGTTTCATATGTTAACTTGTGATTTCATGCTGAAAGTTACTGACTTTCGAGATGATTTTCAATCCCATATGGTTTTCCTGTCATGTTGGATTGGTTATATATGTTCAACTGTGAAATTTGTAACCTCACTTAGCTATCCCATCAGGTTCGATTCGTTTGATATGTTCGTCTTTGAAATTTTAAGTCCACTTGTTGTCATATTAAGTTGAGTTTGTTTGATATGTTCGATCTTGATTTTTATCTCATCTGTGATTTTAGATTTCGATATCAATCTTGGTTTCTTCCTGTCCATATAATTGACTTTCTTGTAGAACAGCGTGTTTGTTCTGTCTTTTTTTAGTGAACTGATGGTTCTTTTTTTCGTGACCTTTAGCAAACCTTCGCTATTGCATCTCGCCCCGTTAGAGGCCGTTCTGTTTGACGTCGATGGGACACTCTGTGATTCAGATCCAATCCACCTTATTGCCTTTCAGGAACTTCTCCAAGAGGTTTGGTTTGTTCTTGCTTGTGAATTGTGATTATATATCTTCAAGAAGAAGATTTATCATATTACGACGATAATTTCCTGGTCTGTTTATTCGCCGGAAAGAGGATTCAATTTGTGAATTTGTTTCGGAACGTAGTTTATTACTTGTAAAACCATTCACGCAAGTTAATTTTTGCTGCTGTGGTGGACTATTGACAGATTGGTTTCAACAATGGTGTTCCAATCGACGAAAAATTCTTTATCGAAAATATCGCTGGAAAACACAACTCGGAAATTGCTGCATCTCTGTTCCCCGATGATCTTTCAAGGGGCTTGAAATTCTGCGAGGAAAAGGAAGCCCTTTTTCGCAAGTAAAGTCCTCATATCTCTTGTAGGATTTCAGACTCTTGTTTCGTTTATAGTAATATGTACACTTTCTTTTTCTCGTTTTCGATGGAATAGAATCGTGGTAGAAAAGTTAAAGCCGATTGACGGGCTGACCAGACTGACCAAGTGGATCGAGGAACGCGGGTTGAAACGAGCTGCAGTAACCAATGCCCCCAAAGAAAATGCAGAGCTAATGATAACAAAACTCGGTCTCAAGGATTTCTTCCAAGCTGTAATTGTTGGATCCGAATGTGAACATCCGAAACCACACCCCGACCCTTACTTGAAGGGCCTCGAAGTTCTTAACGTGTCGAAGGAACACACTTTGGTTTTCGAGGTCTTTGCCCAAATCAATCAGCTTATTAACACTTTTTTTTATTGTTACATGATCTCTGTTTCGTCTCTTGTTTTTCCGCCCCTACATTTCCTTTTGTTTTTTCGGGTTCAGGACTCGGTTTCGGGGATAAAGGCGGGAGTTGCAGCGGGAATGCCCGTGATCGGACTAACTACGGGTAATCCAGAAGAACTCCTCATGCAGGCGAAACCTGCATTTCTCATACAGAACTACGCTGATGCAAAGCTTTGGTCTGTCTTGGAAGAACTTGACAGTAAGGGAATGCTCTTAAACCATCTTTCCCATTGAGAGCTTTTTGCCAACGGGGCTATTGATAGGGTAAAAGGGTAAATATTTACACCCTCGGGACCTTTTTTATATTTTTCTCACTATTTCGATCTTTAACCGGTTTGGATAAACCGGATCCTTTAAGATAGAATAAATTGGGGAATGTTTCGTTTACTATTTATTTCTGAATATTCGAGTTTACTATTAAGAAAAATGCACGCCAAATATTTACAAAAAATACAGTTATTAAATAAATATATAATTTTTTGATGTACCAAATAAATACACAATTTTTTATTAAATAATATCTAATTAATGTTCGATTGATTTTTGTTTAATTCAAAATAGATCGTCATGGAAAATTTAAAGCTGATTGACGAAATAAATTCGTAGAAATATAATTATGTTTTTAAAACCGTTATTATAGGATAGACGAGACTTTCGAAATACATTTGTCCACTATCCTAATTTACAACGAAAATATTCTTATAAATCAGGTTTGTAAACTAAACGGTCAAATTAAAATAAATATATGAATTTTATTCTTAAGCATATCCTCTTCTAACAAAAAAAAAAGAATATTTCAGTCATTTTTGGAAGAATGGTCTCCTGTATTTATAAATCTTTCTTTTCCAAAAAAATAACATTATACTGTAAATCAAAGGATAATTTATTATTTTTATTTTACAAAAAGACCAAAATATAATTTATTATTCTTTATAAGAAACATATTAGAAAATTTAGGAAAATAAAAACTTGCTAAATAGTAAATTTAACCGATCATCTTCAAAACAAAAGCAAGCATTTTGATGAAGGGGAAGCAAATCTCGTTTTTTGGAAATTATACGACAATAAAATGGAAGAAAAATCTTCGGAAAAATGCAACACGTGGTTGCTTTTGCCATCATGCTTACGGTAATTCCTGTTGTCTTCGTATAAGGATTGGGATATCCGAGGATTCTTCACTTCAGCCATGGACACCAGCTCTGATCTTCTGCGGTGATTTGGTTATTCTCCTCGTCAAGCTTGAAACTTTTTCTCTCAAAATCGGTCATTTCGTCGTTCTTTCGTAAATTCACTGCGATTATTCGGCAAAAATGTCTTCTCTGGTGGGTCAAATGGTTCTTCCCTCTGAGAATGGCCACAGAGTTTGGGAAGATCAGACCTTTTTCCGGTGGAAAAAGAGAGATGCTCATGTCATTTTGCGTTGCCATGATTCCATCGAAGGTTTCTTTTTTTATCTACTTTTTTTTTTTCTCTCTCGGATGGATTTTTTTAGGGCGACTTTGATGGCTTTCTTGCAAATTGAAACATGTTGGTTCAAGGAGTATGAATCAGATACTGCAAAAGTTTTTTCAAGGTCGGATCCTGCAGATTGAGAAAAATAGAATGTAATCCAGTTTTTAATTTGTTCCCAGAGTGTTTATTTGTTGTCCATTTCCGTGGGTTATAGTTTCACAGTGTAGGAGCCTTTGACCATGGTTGATGATACTCTTAGTTTGCTTCCATTCGTTGTGTTAAGGGTCTCGAGGCTCATAATTTAGCAGCAATGCATGTTTAGCATACATGTTGACGGGAATCATGGCTGAGTTCTTTAATGTGGATTCAAATTTTTGTCAGCCCAATTAAGAATTTGATGGCATTGTCATTTTGCATCAATGGCTAGGATCTCTGAGGTACTGGTATCAACGAAATAATGTGGATCTCACCGTGGCCAAATCTGCTGTCTGGAATGATGATGCCGTTCAAGCAGCTCTCGATAGTGCCGCCTTTTGGGTCGACGGGTTGCCTTTTGTCAAGTCGTTATCGGGTTATTGGAAGTTTTTCTTGGCTTCTAGTCCTACCGGTGTTCCTGAGAAATTTTTTGATTGTGCGTTTTCAGATTCAGAGTGGGCAAGTTTGCCAGGTTGGTTCATTTCACCTTTCTCCGATCCTTTATTCTGCAGATTTTTATGTCAGTTATCTTAATAAGTTTGTCACTTTGATCTCTCAGCTTCTTACATAGGTTGTCCTGTTTGGGCTTTTAATAGTTGAAGAATTAAACTTGCTGAGATATTTCAGATATACATACCGCATTAAGTATTCATGCAGTTCTTAGAAATGGAGTTAGAATAGGATTCAGTGGCCATTTCTAATGTGAGTTTTCAAGACCTGGGAGTGTGTTTCATATGTTAGATGTCAAATCTTCTTGCAAGCAAATCATCAATGGTTAAGTTGTGTTCTCAGAGTTGGCTTTTGTTTGAGTTATATGATCTTTGACTTGGTATGTTTTGACTCCTTGCCTGGGTCCTGCAGTTCCTTCTAACTGGCAGATGCATGGATTTGATCGGCCTATATATACAAATGTTGTGTACCCTTTTATAAATGATCCTCCTCATGTTCCTGGGGATAATCCTACTGGCTGCTACAGAACCTACTTCGAGATTCCCAAGGAGTGGCAAGGTATTATATGCTCTGAATTGACGATTCAGCAATATCAAACAGAAAAAAATTAGAGAAAACTTCTATTCCCTTTAATCTTTCATTCAATTGTTTTTTTTCTTTCATTTCCGGTTTCTAGGTAGAGGTCAGAGTCTGAAATTGAAATATGTTCTCCTTGTAGACTGGATTAAAATGGTTGCTTACTTGCCCACTTCGTATATGATCTTTGTTACATGGTTTAGCATTGTTTGTTCTTGATACTTACTTTTGTCCCCACGGGTTAAATAGATGTATTAAACACCTATTGTTCAGTATCTACCGTCGCACTGAAGGTCATGAAAGTAAGTCTCTTGGGAATAGTTAAGTGAATTATCGCTCCTTTTATAACTACACTGTATTGCAAAATGCTGTTTAGCTTGAACTTACTAGTACTGGAAAATTTCCATTATCTGTACAATAAACTTCTTGTTTTCCTTCTTTCTTGTTTTTACTTGACCCTTTAATAAAAGTTATACTTTTGTGCAGGTAGAAGAATATTTGTTCACTTTGAAGCTGTTGATTCTGCATTCTTTGCTTGGGTAAATGGCAATCCCGTCGGGTATAGGTATGAAGTATGCCTTCAAAGTACTTACCTCTTCTGATTCACCTCATTGCTTATTCCTGTTTAGATCTTTAGATGCACAGGGAGGCAGTTTTGACTTTATGACCTAAACTTGGGTCTAATAAGGTTCTGAATATGCCAAAGGACTGATCTAGCTATTGAGCATATAAATGGTAATACTATAACCTGAAATGAGATTGCTGTGATTGAATCTGTAGTGTTATTTTTTGCTTGACACACACCTCTATTCGCGAATCTGATCACGACAGATGCTTCCAATGGAGCATGATGTTGAATATAAGGTTTTAAACAAAAGATGTAGATATTTTTTTTCCTTGTTTAATTTTGGTGAAGCATATGCATTGTAGGCAGCAACTAGTAATAGATCTGCATGCATATTTTAAAATCTGGGAATTGTCAGTAGCTTCCATGCTTTATTTGTTCTCCTAGAGCTGTTTGCTAGCAATGTTTCCGCACTTGATTTTGAAGTGTGAAACTAAAACACAAACAAAATCTTTCCCAATTGTCTTATGTCAGTCAAGACAGCAGGTTGCCTGCTGAATTTGAAATTTCGGATTACTGCTATCCATGGGATTCAGGGAAAACAAATGTTCTAGCTGTCCAAGTCTTTAGATGGAGCGATGGTTCGTACCTTGAAGACCAAGATCATTGGTGGTTGTCAGGGATTCACCGAGATGTACTTTTGTTAGCAAAGCCAAAGGTATTGTTGTTCCAGTCTTGTTATAACCTGAAAGTTTACCCTTTAAGATTAACTGAAAGACATCATTAGTTGATTGGGAAATTGTTTACCTTAACTGTAATATTCTTCACCAAAAGTGCCCAACTGTTTATCTTGATCTCTTGAGAGTCTAAATCTAATCTCGTATTGATTAAATTGGCGAATCTACTTTTATTTGAAATTGACAGACAAAGTAACAAATTGTTCTGATGGTGGTACTCTTAACAAATGAAAATGTAAATGTATATTTCCATGCTAATTTATCGTCCAAAAGAAAAAATTTGTCAAATATATTTTAGATTTCTAATGCACTAAAAGCCTAGACTTGGACTGAAAACTGATGTTAACTGCTTTATGTAGGTCTTCATTGCTGACTACTTTTTCAAATCGAAATTGGCTGAGGATTTCTCATATGCAGACATGCAGGTAACTACTCCCTTTTAGAAAAATGCAGTTTACGATATGGCCCAATTATTTATGTTGTTCTGTACAGAAATATTTCTCAGTTTCCTTTTTCAATTATTTATGGTCCTTTTTCATTTCTTTTTTTTTTTGCTTGCGCTTTATTTTAGTGTTGATGAAATTAAAACACCTGCACAGTTTATGCTTACTTGTTTCAATAATAACTACGCAGGTTGAAGTGAAATTAGATAATACGAAGGAGACTTCTAAGGATGCAGTTCTCTCTAACTTTGCCATAGAAGCTGCTCTATATGATCCTGAAAGTTGGTCCAACTCCGGAGGATATACCTACAAACCATCTCCGAGCGTGGCTAATCTGAAGTTTAATCCTTCACCAAGCCAAAGTTTAGGATTTCATGGTTATATGCTCGAGGGAAAACTCAATGCTCCAAAGTTGTGGTCCTCAGAACAGGTAAGCAACTCATTTTTTCGATTTGTATTATTTTATAATTATCAATAAATTTGGTTTGATTTTCAGAAATTAACTACAATTGTTTACAGTTTAGTATATTGGGGAACAGAGGTATATTCAAACAGAATCTAAAAAAATGGAAGATGTAATAAATTAGATTATCTGGTCATATTCCATGTATCTGCAGTGCTTCTCTTTGAATGTTTAAAAGCATAATGTTCTGCCTTTTTATTTCTATACAATAATTTCAGATGCATTGAATAATTGACGTGGAACTGAGAGTTTTTATGGTTATCTAGCACCCTGTTGGACTTTTTGCTCTAGTTTATCTCCGTCTGTATCATTGCTTGTCTAAGCTCTTTATTCTGACAGCATGTTAGTTCTGAACTGGTATTGGCAAAGATAAAATTGGAAATGACATGGTTCTCGTGAAGTATTGCTTTGGTATGTAATTTATGGTAGTTTCTGTGATGAAGCTGGTTTTCTAACTCATATTTCCTGGTTAATTTGTATTGGGACGCAGCCAAATCTTTACATTCTTGTGGTAACTCTCAAAGATACATCTGGGCAAGTGGTTGATTGTGAATCGAGCATTGTTGGCCTTCGCCAAATAACAAAGTCCTTCAAGCAGCTTCTTATTAATGGACAGCCAGTTATTATAAAAGGTGTCAACAGGCATGAGCATCATCCGTGTGTGGGGAAGACAAATATAGAGTCCTGCATGGTCAAGGTGAGAACAGTTCTCTCCTCAGTTTCCCTTGGCTTATACAGTGATATCATGGTTTAGTTGATTAATTGGTTCTATTTAAGGATGTCCATATATCATTTTCAGGATTTAGTTTTGATGAAGCAAAATAATATAAACGCGGTGAGAAACAGTCATTATCCACAACATCCCCGGTGGTATGAGTTATGTGATTTGTTCGGCATGTACATGATTGATGAAGCCAACATAGAGACACACGATTTTTATCTCTCTAAACATCTGAAGCACCCTGCGGAAGAGCCGAGCTGGGCAGCTGCTATGTTGGACCGAGCAGTGGGTATGGTTGAGAGAGACAAAAATCATGCATGCATAATTTCTTGGTCACTGGGAAACGAGGCTGGGTATGGCCCTAACCATTCTGCTATGGCCGGTGAGCAATCCCGTCTATCCCTCAGCTAGCGAGAAAAAAAAAACTATTGAAGTCTGTTACCAAAATAACATGTGGGATTAACTCACTTCTAATACCATTCAGCTTTTCTAAAATACTATGCGGAAGTCAAGTACCTGTTATCTATGTGCTATATATTTCCTGGGCAAAATGCAAGATTAATTGCTCCCATGAGCAGCATTCTGAAATTTTCAAATGTTCCGTGATCAAATATTATACTGAATGTAATGGTGTTGAAGAATTGACTTGCTTATTTTTGTTCTTCCAGCTTTATTCACTTTGTCTTGTTGATGTCTAACTTCTGGATCAGGTTGGATTAGAGAAAAAGATCCCTCGCGATTTTTGCACTACGAAGGTGGTGGATCTAGAACTTCTTCTACTGATATAGTATGCCCTATGTATATGCGTGTTTGGGACATTGTCGCGATTGCAAAAGATCCGAATGAACCACGCCCTTTGATATTGTGCGAGTATGTCATCTCAGAGTCATCATATTTACTCTTTTCCCTACTTTATTTCTCTTTTCGTTGCTTGGTGACAGTATATTCCATCATCGTTTATACTTCAGGTATATTTCACATTTACTAAGAGGAATTTCTACTCAATAAAATGCAGGTATTCACATGCAATGGGTAACAGCAATGGTAATATTGATGAGTACTGGAATGCAATTGACAACACCTTTGGGCTTCAAGGAGGTTTCATATGGGACTGGGTTGACCAGGTTGGTAATTCTGATTCCTTAACTAATGTGAAACTGAGTTCTTCAAGATACTTGATAGAAGGATTTCTCATCTTTCGAGGATCTTGTATTTGCTTGATTTCAGAATATTCAAATCGTTATACATAGGTTATTACAAATCTATTAAACTTCTTGTTTTTTTTTACTGGCGAGGAAGAAGAAATGATAGATTTTTTTCAGGATTCTTAGAGATAAATATATAGTATTCTGAGGCTCTGTTTTTCATCTTTATGGCCTATTGCCTCGTGGAGTTGTGGTTCGTTAAGTCTATATACTGAATAGAAAAATCGGAGCTGTGGTTCATTAAGTCATTTTCCACCCTTCCCTCTATCAATCAGGGGCTGCTGAAGCTTGATTCAAACGGCATTAAGCGATGGGCATATGGAGGAGACTTTGGTGACGAGCCTAATGATTTGAACTTCTGTCTGAATGGGATTGTTTGGCCAGACCGAACTCCTCATCCAGCAATGCACGGTAATCGCTTCTTACCTGTTTTTTTTTAAAATGAAATGTGACTTATATTAATCAGAAACTTTTTTGAGTTTTTTACAATTCGAAATAATCGTAACTAACCAAAAGGTGCATTTCCATATGGATGGAACAAAAGACCACTATACATTGATAAACTAAACGGTTGTGGTTAATGGAACCAACCTGCAAGGAGTTGATTGGGTTGCATCGGTCTCGAGTCTTGCAAGGAAAGGATGCAACTCCAAACCATGCGATCAAGCTGTCTTCTTACCTCTTCTTAACTTTACTTAATACGTGACTAAGTTGTGAATGGCATCGATAATCTGTTGTTTGCATCATGTCTCTCTGCCGCTGAAGAGGTTAAGCACTGTCATCAACCCATCAAGGTTTCATTGACGGAAGGCACACTCAAGGTGTTGTAGCTGTTTATCAACTGGCCAAGGTTTCCTTCAGCTCGGTCTGTGTGATGTTGATATGATCTGTTTAACTTGACTTTCTCTTTTCAGATATCAAACAATTTTTTCTTTGAAACCACACAAGGATTGGAGTTTAACTGGGTGGTTCATGGTGATGGTTATCAACTTGGATCTGGGGCCCTTTCTCTTCCTGTGATAAACCCACAGAGCAGCTTTGATATGGATTGGAAGTCAGGTCCATGGTATCCCTTCTGGGATACCTCAAACTCTGGAGAAAGTTATCTAACGATAACCTCCAAGGTTAAAAATTCTACTCGCTGGGTTGAAGCTGGTCATCTTTTGTCTTCAGCACAGATTAACTTACCTGCAAAGAGACATATAATACCACAAGTAATTCTCATATGCTTTATGATTCAGAATAGGAAACAAATTCGCTTTTCAGCATGTTTGGTAATATGAAGTCATGATATTTATAAGTGAACTATTATTCCAGGTTATCAAAAGCACAGATGCCCTTATCACTAGTGAAATGTTAGATGATTCAATCAAGATCAACCAGCAGAACTCATGGGAGCTCACGGTAAATGTCCGAACTGGAGCCATAGAAAGCTGGAAGGTATGTTCTTTACGTTTTAATTCTGAATGAGAAACCCTTAAACTGTCATCAGCTTCTTTTTGGCTTGTGAAATAGTCAAGTAGAAGCTGCATTTAATATGGCCACATGGGGTCCCCTACAAACGTCATAAAAAAAGGACCAACCTAGTTCGAGTCCCCACCTGGTGGGGGTGTTGGGGAAGGGAATATACTAGGCAGCCTTACCCCTACTTTTATGTAGAGAGGCTGATTCGAACCCGCGACCTCAGACCCGTACAAATGTCGTAGTTGAAGAATATTTCTCTGCTTTTGATCCTGAAGATATTGCAAAATTACAGGTTCAAGGTGTTACCCTGATGAACAGAGGCATACTGCCATGCTTCTGGCGAGCACCAACAGACAATGACAAAGGTGGAGGTGACTCTAGTTATTACTCAAGGTGGAAAGCAGCACATATGGATAATGTTGCTTTCCTTACAGAAAGCTGTTCTCTGACGAGTATCACAGACCGATCCATGAAAATAGAGCTAGTTTATCTTGGTATCCCCGGAGGAAAAGGAGTTTCTACTTCTGAGTCTACAAAATCAGATGCCTTATTCAAGGTTAGTGTGACATATATGATCTATGGTTCTGGAGATATCATCACTGAATGGTCTGTGGAACCAAGCCCTACTCTTCCACCTTTACCAAGGGTAGGCATTGAATTTCACATTGAGAAGACACTGGACCGGGTTGCATGGTATGGCAGAGGACCATTCGAGTGTTATCCAGATCGGAAAGCAGCAGCCCATGTGGGGATATATGAACAGAAGGTGGAAGATATGCATGTTCCTTATATTGTTCCAGGAGAATGTGGGGGTAGGGCTGATGTTAGGTGGGTAACTTTCCAAAACAAGGATGGAAGGGGAATCTATGCTTCGACATATGGTAGCTCTCCCCCTATGGAAATGAGTGCAAGTTACTATACCACTGCAGAGCTTGATCGTGCAACCCACCATGAGGAGCTTATCAAAGGAGAAGACATTGAGGTAATAACGTTTCCATTTCTCTTTTCTCTTTCCTTTTCAGCAATCCATCGGGAAATGTTAGGTCATACATGTGACTGCCTGATCTAAACCCATCGCTGTTTCCAGTGAGATTTGATAGTTTCTATCTATCACTTTAAACTGCAGGATTATTATGCTGTACTTGTGTTAGATCATATGTCCTAGGCTGTATCTAGTGTACTTCTGAAGAGAATTTATCGCTGATTCCTTCTCGGACGAAGAGTATCGGTTATGATGGTTCCTTGATCGATACCCTTTTGCTAATCTTCGGCTTCTCTCTGGTATGGCGGTGTGTAATTACAGGTGCATCTCGACCATAAACACATGGGTGTTGGAGGAGATGATAGTTGGACCCCCTGTGTCCACCAGAAGTATCTGATTCCTCCGGTACCATACTCTTTCTCTATGAGGTTGAGCCCGATTACTCCAGCTACGTCGCCCATCGACCTCTACAAGAATCAACTTCCAAGCTAGGGCAAGTCTCATTGAAGAGGTTTTTGCATTGTTTGGATGCTGAATCTCAATCTGCAATTGAACTGAACTTGGCATTATGAGGTTGGAATAAGGTTTCTGAGGGAACCCTTCGTGTTTTATGGCGTCGGAATAGTCGTGCTTGTAACTTGAAGCTTGTGACCGAGTTGACCATCCCTAAAACTAAATGACAAGAAAGGGAAGAGATGAGGTACACTGACTTCAGACATTGAAACTGGTTATCAGACTGAGCTTTTGTTTGGTTGGGAACGCATCAAAAGAGTTATGTTGTGGTCCCTTTATCCATATCGGGTCCTTCACAATTCACAAGACGACTTCCAAAATATTTGCACCAACCGACACAGGAACAACACCATCAATCCATCCAGGCCTTTGTTAGCTACTTTACAAGTGGGCACAACATGTTCTTTAACCCCCAAAAAAAAATCAAGTTTCTTAGAACTAAACATATGGTTAATTCATTGGATCTTGATAAATAGAATCATATAAAAATCAATCAATTTAATAAAAACTGTTTCTCTTTTTGGAGAATGAGTGTTTGGATACAACATTTCTTGGGAGGCCTAAGCCACAGAGTAGAGTGGTATCCTAGCCACCCAATTCGTAGGTTCCATTAAAAGATATTATAGGTGTTTGACTCTAACCCTATACCCTATTTCCCTCTTTCTATTTCTCCTATTGCTTATTACATAAAAATATAATTTAACAACATTACCCCACCACTTGAGATATAATTGTTATTAGCAGGTCCATGTGACCCACATATAATAAATACTCATTATTTCCTCAATCTCTTTATTTGAAAACATCCCTATTCTTTTGCTCTTTTAAACTCCGGTTGATACGTACGCGTAGCTTAGCTACTCCTCTCTCTGTCTCTCATTGATGAAATCTCACACCCTATCCTACCTCTAAGTTCTAACACCTACAATATAGCCTCTGTATATACACACACCATATATATACACACTGTTGGTTGTATATTACTGTGACTGTGGCCAACCCAACTTCCTCCGAGTCATGGCCGCTGCAACAATCAGCCGCCGCCGCCGCCTTCGTCTCCGGCCGCAACGACACCGTTTCAATCCCACTTGACCACTCCTCCGCCGCTTCCGCTTCTGCCACCGCGATCTCCATGTTGAGGTTCCGCAACTTAATGCTCATATCATCACCGCCGCCGCAGCCGCCGTCGACAGATTCCCTATCGGAAAATCTGGAGAACGATTTGTCGGGCGCGGAAGAGAAAGTGTGCGGAGACTGCGGAAACAGAGCAAAGAAAGAGTGCGCCTTTGGGAGGTGCAGGACATGCTGTAAGAGCAGAGGGTATGACTGTGCCACTCACGTGAAGAGCACGTGGGTTCCGGCGTCTCAGCGTCGTGATCGGAAATTCACCGTCGCCGGAGCTGTCTCCGGAAGTGGGCCGTCGTGTCCTGGGAGTAAGAAGCAGAGAACAGAGGTTTCAGAACAGAACAATGCTGCGAAAGCGCCATTGGGTCTTCAGACAAGTTCTTCTCATCAAGGTAATGCCTTTGTGTCTCTCTTTCAATCTGTGACACGAAAGTTTGATTCTTTCTCTTCATTTCGACGTGCTGATTCGATGAATCAGTTAAATTTCATAGAGTTTGGTTCGAATTGACTGGTTAGAGGGTTCGTTTGTGGGAAAGCTTAATAAAGGAAGAGACTTTTTAGGGTTTAGGATCATAATGCTTCTTGGAGTTTATATCACAATTACAATAAGGCTTTTAATCCCCCCAACCCTGTTGATTGATTCTCTTTCGTGTTCCGTGATTTGTTATCTGGATTCAAGACGAGAATTTGTCACCTGGGTTTGCATTTTCCTGCTTCAATTGCCAATTTCAACCTAAATCTGAACCACTTTGGAACTTTCTCCTTCACGATCTCCATCTGATAACGACCAAAATTTGCCCTAATCCTAAACAAACCCAGAATGCCGACACAACCAGAGGTTGAGTGGATTAGTTTCCTGCATGTTTATGAATGACGGCAATGTATATGCAGGCTTCAAGGAGGCATTGCCGGGAAAAGTTCAAGCGCCTGCAGTATTCAGACGCATAAGGGTAACCGCCATTACCAACGGCGAAGCAGAGGTCGCTTACCAAGCTACTGTCACCATAAGCGGCCATGTCTTCAAGGGCTTTCTTTACAACTATGGCGGCGTTGATCAAAACAATCCACTTCCACGTGCTTCCTCCAAACTGCCTACAGAAAATTAACCCAAAAAAAAAAATGGTGAGAAAATTCTCCCTTTCGATTGCTCTTCATGATATAAACGTATTTGTACATAGACGGTTCGCTACTAAGTATAATAGTAAATCTGGTGGGAAAAAAAGGTAAAAATAAATATTGTTTAGAAGACAACATACTATCTACTCCCTCTCAGTTTCAAAATATTCTTAGTTTTAAATTATTTTCTATGTTTCAAAATATTTATAATTTTACATTTTCAAGATATTTTTTTATAATAGTTTCCAATTTTATCCTTACCAAATTCCAATACATTATTAATGATTACATTGTTTTTATCATCAAATAAAGGTATATATGACTTTTGATCTATTTTCTTAAAAAATATGAAACAATCTAAAACAACAAATATATATAGTAAATTTTCTCCTAATGAAAAAATTAGTGGCTATATTTTTAGTTGATTATATAGCGTTATTGGGCTATATATTGAGTCGGGTTATATCAATAGGTCTAAGATTTTCGTCGGATTCCGAATCCTCAATGTTTGGAATTTTTTTTAATGTTTGTCTAGAATAAACTTACATTTTAAATCTATAAATATTTTCTTTTAATGTTTGGATTTTTTTTTAAAATTTAAATCTTAGAATTTATCGGACAAAAAAAGATTATAAAAGATATTACCATTTTAAAAACATGTCTTGATTATTTTATAAATTTTACAACTAATTTAAATACGACATAATATATTTTTATTTTAGTATAAAAATTTTATATCCAATAAAAAAGGTATTATTAATAAATTGTTTAAAATCATCATCTCATGTAAATAAATAAATTATGATATCTATCTAGTGTGAATATAATAATAGAATGAGATTTAGATTATATTAGAGATTTTTATGATAAGTTAGACATTTTTCTCATAAAATCGTTGTTATATCATAAAATCGTTATTAATATGTACCCATATTTAGATATTATAGTTAAAAATCACAATGTATTATCTTCCAATAATCCATACTAAAAACTGTATAAAAAAATCAGATTTTGAATTTTTGAAATATCAGCTTTCAGATATAAAAAAAACTGATTTTAAAAGTGAATATATAGTTTTGCCTATTTGCACGTCCAATAATGTATACTAAAAACAGTAAAAAGAACTCGGATTTTTAAATTTTGCGATGTCAACTTTTTACTTTTAGTTGTGTTTTATTTATTTACTTGTGAATTTGAAAGGGGGAAAACCGAATATGGGACTTTGCCCTCACCCCCACATGTGAAAAAGGAAGATGCAAATTGTAATTGGTGACGGACAGAGCAAAGCATTTTAGCATCTCTCTCTCAAACAATGCTTGACATCAACGCTAATAGCCGAAGTCCCTCGTCCACTCAAACGAAGGAAAATTATATATACGTATGTATATATATATATATATAATCTTATGTATAATAACAAGGTTGAAGAAAGGAAAATGACATTCATTTTTATATTCGATTATTGTTTTTTTTTTATATAAGATTTGGTCCAACAAGGTTTGAACCCGGGTTAGAAGCATTTTTTGTAACTCAACCACTAGACCACTCTATTTAGGTTAATTATTGTTATTATGTTTGGATATTTGTATTTTGTTTGTTTGATTGAATTAAGTTATTTTAAGTATTACTAATATTTATTTTTATTTTTGTCTAAATTAGGATGTGCAGGAAGATCCCAAATACGTGAAAAAAAAAAATAAGCAATGTAAATTTTCATTTGGTATCATCGGCGGCAAATGTATAACAAAGTTATGCAATCTCATGAACAAAAAGGATAAGACCGGCGAAAAATATTAGATATTTCGTTTACACAAATGTTATAATTGGGAATATCATCACCAATTGATTAAGAGATCTACCATAATATTAATATCCACTTTGATCGTACGATTTTTTTTCCACTTTGTACATTATTGTGCATTTTAATTATTTTAAAAATATTATTTACGATTAGGTTGTAAAATCTAATAAAGTTGTATCATACGTTCTATTATGGCGTAAATAAAATATTCAATAATTAATATTAGTTGTCTTTTGTCTATTTAGGAATAATTTAGGGAAACTAGTGTTATTTTAAGCATATAATATGCATGATGTATTTGTGTTACCAATCTCTGATAAACCAAAAAAAAAAAAAGAAATTCACCTTTAAAATGAAAAAAAATTATGACAACTAAATCAAATTAATTAAATAAAAATATTTCTTCGATAATTTAGGATCATAAGAAAAGGTACAGTTCAATACAAATAACATATCTCACTTTTTTATTAACACATAATGCATATATAATTGACTAAAAGCAATATTAAAAGTCACTCTTTTCTTGGGCATATTAATTCAACATTAGATATAACATAAAGTACATATAAATGAAATTATGAACGGATTTGTAAATGAATAAATTAAGAAAAGATATACAAATGATTAATGGAAGGCAAAAATAAAAGTTTAGAATGAGTGAGAGGTAGCTATCGGGTTGAACCTTTTTTTGAAAAACAAAAGGCAAACCCATCCCCCATGGCCATGGTTGCCCACTTTCCTCCTCTCTCAAAAACCATTATCTGTAGTAGTGCTCCCACTCATTCTATCCTCCTTTTCCATGTTCCTATTTCTCGAGATTCTTTCTTGTATTTCCATGCCATTTCAATTATTTGTATCTTTTACCTAACCGTATGGTTTAATGGTATTAGGTAAATATTATATCTAGTTATTTCATGTGACGTTTTGAATAAAAATGAAGATATGAAACCGAATGAATACAATTTAAATCCGAATCATATACAAAATAAGCCTAATCTAAAGATGATTTCTCCATCCGTGGTTCAAACCGGTAACAAAACTTTCACTAATTGTTCTCTAATTTGAAAAAAGACAACAAGTGACCTAACTCGAATGTACGATTTTGAAGACAGTGGGAACTCTCCCTTCATGTCTCCTTGACTCTCGTTTAAGTCCTCGGCGGTCTTGGTCTCTCTCTCTCTCTCTCTCTCACGGTTTCATTACATGAGGAGAAATGAACGGAGAAGCTAACCAAGAAAAACCTCCTCTTCTCCTACCCGCCGCCACCGCCGCCGCAGTCTCCGGCGCCGGAGACAGGCTAAAGCGCGACGAGTGGAGCGAAGGAGCAGTCTCGAGCTTGCTGGAGGCCTACGAAGCCAAATGGGTTCTCAGAAACAGAGCGAAGCTCAAGGGTCAAGACTGGGAAGACGTCGCCAGGCACGTGTCCTCACGCGCCAACCAGACCAAGTCCCCCAAGACTCAGACTCAGTGCAAGAACAAGATCGAGTCCATGAAGAAACGCTACCGTTCCGAATCCGCCGCCGCAGAAGGCTCCTCCTGGCCTCTCTACCCTCGTCTCGATCATCTCCTCCGTGGAAACGCCGCCGTGCCGCCGCCGCCGCCGCCACCGCCGCAGCAGCAACCGCAGGTTGTTCAGCCTCTGAATAGTACAGCTCCGTTGCTGCTCCTGGAGCCGTCTCCGTCGCCATCTCCGGCGAGGGCTCAGCCGCCACCGCCGCAACTCCCGGTGCCTCCAGAGACTATTCAGATGTCTAACGGGTCGAACGGCATCGGCCGAATTGCCAAGGTCCGGTCCTTGCTCTGTTTCTAACCAGTAGAATACCGATCTCGTTCAATTTATATGGAAATTAACAATCTGTGTTCTTCAAATTTCTGAAACCCAACTCGGATATTGTCCTAATTAGTTTGAAAATCGCACGAGTACTGACTGGTCGAATGGTCAATGTCCGATACCCATGTTCTGTACCTAATCTGTAGAACAACCATTGCTCTGTTTTCTTGCGATCCATCCATGTGAGAAATTAACAATTTTTCCCTCAAATTTGAGAAACCCATCTCGGAATTTGTGGAAATAACTTCGAAAAATCGCAGGAAGACGGAGTGAAGCCGAAATTCTCCGAGCAATCACCGGAAACAGCAATGGAGATGGAGACAGACAGTAGCACACCAGCGATGTACAGAGACAGCAGCAACAACGACAACAACAACAACGCGAAGATGAAGCCGAGGAAGGCGAAATCAAAGAAAAGGCCAAAGGAAGAGAAGGAGATAGCGGGAAGCATAAGGTGGTTAGGTAAGGTAGTGATGAGATCGGAGAGAGCGAGAATGGAGACGATGAAAGAGATCGAGAAGATGAGAGCCGAGGCTGAGACGAAGAGAGGAGAGATCGATCTGAAGCGTACGGAGATTATCGCAAATACCCAACTGGAGATCGCCAAGATCTTCGCCGTTGCTGCTTCCGGGCACAGCAAAGGTATTGATTCCTCGTTGAGGATCGGCAGAAACTGAGTTCTTCTTCTAACTCTTTTGCCCTGTTCCTTTTTTTCGGTACATAAAACTTTGATCTGATCAATAATCATTCCTCTGTTGCTCCATTTGCTTCGATCGAACTGGTGAAAACTGGGATTTTGGGGTTCAAAGTGTTTGATCTTGAGCATCATGATTCTGGAATTGCTTGTTAACAACTTGGATTTTTTTTTTTCGAAATGTCTGAATATGTGTTGTGAATCTCCCGATTGATCACATCTTCTTACTATCTCGCAACATAAAGTAGACCATAAAACCAAACAGGGGCCTCAAGCTAAGTCTTGTCGGTATAATGCCCAATTTAAACAAAAGAACTCCAAGCATTAACCGTTTTTCATTTGAATTTAAAAGGATAAATTTTCCGATGCCGGAGTGAAAAGAAGGAGAAGGACGTCTCAGTTGACTCCTATAGTATTCTATTCTAATTCAGTATAATTTTTTTAATGAAAACCGAATAAATCGATAGCAAACCAAATAATTTGATAAATAACCAAAAACCTAATTTCCCTCCTATATAAATATATTCGTAAATATAAAGTTTACGTTATTTTTTTTACTTGTATAATACAATAGTTTCAGACAGAATCGACTCTAAAACCAAAACCAGATTGAACCGAACTAATTAACATTCGATTTTAATTTGATACAACTTTTATAAAATTGAATAAACCGTTACTAGAACCGACCTAAACCAGAAACAAGTGTAAACCAAACTGAGATATTCATAACTCCACGAATTGGACAAAAAAAAGAAAAGGAGCCCACGACAGTTCCAAAGCCCAGAAGACAGTCTCAGTTTCTGGTTTTGTGTTTGTTTTTTCCGTAATTCGGGAAGGAGGAGAAAAAAGAGAACCCGAGAAAGAAAAGCGAAGAAACGACCGCCAGAAAGCATAAATCACAGCAGAGGAAGTGTCCAGAAGTTCCGGGGTAACCACCGAGGACTGTACCGATGGCTACCGGCGGAGGAAACGTCATCGCGGCGGCTCCGGTCGGCAGTGGAGGCGGAGGAAATGTGGAGTGGCATGTCCGACCACCAAACCCTAAAAACCCTGTTGTGTTCTTCGATGTCTCCATCGGTGGCATTCCCGCCGGTCGGATCAAGATGGAGCTCTTCGCCGACATTGCTCCGAAGACTGCTGAGAACTTCAGGTCCTGTCTCACACTTCTCTCTCTCTCTCTCGTGACGAAGCTGATTCTAATATTCTTGTTTTCTTTGGATTTTTCAGGCAGTTCTGCACTGGTGAATACAGGTATGGAATTTTTTCCTCCTTAAAGTTTTGATAGATTCTTTGCCTTCGTTGTTGCTTCTTAGTAGCAAAAGGGCTTATATGAATCTGGATTTCATCTAAATTTCTTATGCAGTTTAGGTTTGTAGATGTTAAATTCATGCAATTCTTGGAATTTGATGCATCAGTGTGATGATGAATCTGGTTATTACTATGGATTCATCTTTACACAACAAATAGATTGTTTCTCTGATCAGGTTACTTGCGTATCCTTTTACAACGACAGATCAAGGGCCATTTTTTTTGCCAACTTTGTCAGTGTTTAATGTTTCAAAAACAGAGCAGAAAACTTTTGTCCTTAAGCTTCTGCTTGCTAGTTATGGAAGCGAAAATTTCTACATTTTGGAGCAAATGCATGACTCTTTTCTATTTTTCGTCTTCATTGGTTCTGGTGGACGTGCAGAAAGGCTGGGAAGCCTCTTGGTTACAAAGAATGTCAGTTTCATAGAGTAATCAAGGATTTTATGATTCAAGGTGGTGACTTTATTAAGGTCGGTGCTCGTTACATGTACTGAAGCTTTGCTTCTTGTTCTACAGTCATAACTGAGTTTTCAAATCGGAACCGGCCTTCTCTTCTTACTATGGTACCTTCTTTCTTTAAATTCTGCAGAATGATGGTAGCGGATGCATGTCCATTTACGGCCACAAGTTCGACGATGAAAACTTTATAGCCAAACACACTGGGCCAGGACTGCTATCTTTGGTATGCATTCAGATTAAGCTTCTTTTTTTAACCTTGAATATGTTTTATGAGGTTAAGTACACATTGGCGTATTTCTGTTCCAGTCTTCCAGACATTAAAATGGTTGAAGCTGATGAATTCTCTTCTCAGTTTGTTTTTATTCATATGGTTTATGTGTTTTGTTAGAGGGACTAGCGATTTCCTTTCAATAGTTACTAAATCCGATATGGTGCTCATGACTTTGATCTCCCAATAACCTATATTTCCTTCTATTGTTGTAGGCAAACAGTGGGCCGAACACAAATGGGTGCCAGGTAATATCAGTTTCGGCTTTTACGTTATTGTTTTGATTGTTCGATTGCATATATCAAAGAAACAGGCTAAAGATTACACGAATGTAGTTCTTCAGTATCTGAGAATTCTATGGCCATAAAAACTTGTTCAAGGGCTTGTAGATGTAACTTTGTTTACTGGCTGGATGATCCTTCTCGCATTCGTTTGTGGTTGAAACTTGCGAGTTTGTGAGTATATGATGATGATCCCCTCCCCCCGGCAAGTCTTAGTTATGCTTAAAATCAGCTGTTTTTTCTTTGTACCCTGCAGTTCTTCATCACCTGTGCAAAATGCGACTGGCTTGACAATAAACATGTTGTCTTCGGGGTATGCTCCTTTCATATACAGACGTACATATTGATCTTTTCCGTGGAATAATTTTCCGTAGCATGACCAAAGGGTCTACCGTAGTTTTTAATCTCGGTCTGTGGACGAAACAGATCAATGCCGTGCATTAAACCAGAATACGTAATCCTCATGCACGTTATTAATCTCGGTCTTCATCAATCCGTAAAACTCATTTACATTAAACGGGTTATTTTTCCTTCTGAGTAAAACACGATTCGCCCTGTGTTGCTACTAACTGATTTTACGACCCTTTGTTTGTAATCTGTCCAGAGAGTGCTTGGGGACGGTCTTCTGGTGATGCGGAAGATCGAGAACGTGGCCACGGGACCCAACAACCGTCCTAAGCTTGCCTGTGTGATCACCGAGTGCGGCGAGATGTGAAATTTTACGACGGTTCGCCGGATAATTTTCTCTTCGGACAAGACAGGGGTTCGTCGAGTTCGGAGTGTTTATGCTACGAGAGGGACTTGTAGAAACTATTTACTTGAGTTAAATACACATATATGACTAATTTATATAAGTTAGAGGTTTTAATGACTAATTTAAAGTATATTGTTTAATTTTAGTAAGCGATGGACTTTAGGATTTCATTTGGATTTTTGTCCATAGACTTAATTTCGAAATATCACCCACCCCTTGTTTGATTTAATTGAGGGCAAAAATGACAATTCTGATTCATCAACGCTAATCAGGATTTCTGACAAATGGAATCTAACCTTTTGGTGTATCTTTGCAATTCGCCCTCCCTTAAATTTTGGAAATTAGCCGTCGATCCTTCGCCGCCTTCGAGTTGCTGCTCCTAGAGTCCAGGAGATGGATGCTCGCAAATTGCCTTCTTCTTCCTCTCCATATAGGGATCCGGCGAGGTTCAGGCCTCGCCGGGGCTCCGGTAATCCGCCGGGTTACTCGAGGATCCGAAGTGGCGCCGCCGCTAGTAATTTCAGCCGGAGAAGAGTTGATCCACGACACAAACCAAAGAATGAAGAATACAAAGTAGATACTCATGGAGAAGATCCGGCCGACGTCTCCTTCATCGTCGGCACTTGCCCTGACATGTGTCCAGGTGATCCTACCTTGCTTCATCGTGTTCGGGAACCATGAAATGAGCGATTAGTTGTCATTTCGACCTGAAATTTTGTAACTGCGCCTGAAACTGCATGGAATCTAGTGCTGGGTTCTGTTGATTTATGCCGAATCTGGAATCCCTGATTCTTTTGATTTTGTTTCTAAAAGGGGAAGTATTATGTGACTGTATATATTCATGTTTCCGGAAAAATTCTTGTTTGTAAATTTCTGTCATTCCGGTGATGACTTCAAAATGGCGGGCATTCGTTTACAGGGACGAGAGATGAATTCTCGGGTTACCATCTGCTTTGATTTAGTTTAGAGCTTCAAGGTCTTGAATGATATTGATATAATATGCTTTCTTCACTAGTTGTTTATAGGATCTCGACATTCTGATAGTTGTCTCTAATAACGTGAAGTGATGAAGATGAGTGATAAAAATTTACTAGCTGCAGAAGGATGTATTCAAATCCAGCTGATGTAATTTGAACTTTCTTGTGTTTGCACCTTTCGTTATTGACAGAGCGGGAACGAGCCAACAGAGAACGCCTGCGGGACTTGGCTGTGTTTGAAAGGCTGAATGGAAACCCTGTGAAAACATCCAAAGATCTAGCTGTCAAAAAGGTGGGTTTGACATACTTGAGATTCACACACACACACACACATATATTTTTGTGTCTAGCAAACTGTTAAAATCTCTTCTTGGGATTCAACTTATGGTTTTGGATTCTTTGTTGCTTGATCTTGTGAATTTGAATCAGTTTTGCTGATATTTTTGCTCCAGTGGTCTATGAGCTTTGAGTGCCATGGGGCATAGAAGTTGAGTTATGGCTTACCAAACTTGTGGCTCAAAGAGATTTCATACTCTGTGCCATTTCTTTGCAAATACACATGGTCAGGCTTTTTACAGAGCAGAAAAGGTGGTTTAAATTTGTTTGTAAAGCTTCAAGATGAATTACCGATATTAGTTAAGAGGGAAAGCCCTACTGGCTAAAATGGGATAGATTTTATTTAAGCTTTAGCTTTGTGATCCGTACCTAAAGCAGTTATAGTACACAATCTTGCTAGTTTTGCAGAACCCTTTCAGCTATGGATGTGGAAGCTTCAGATATACGGCCACTCTCAGTATTAGAAGAAACCTTAATACACCTGCTAAACTTGCTAGATTCCAGGGAGCACCCTTTCGAAGTGGTTCATGATTTCATCTTCGATAGGACAAGGTCCATCAGGCAGGATCTTAGCATGCAGAATATAGCCAATGAAAGAGCGATCTACCTTTATGAGAAGATGGTATGAGTCCACATTTATCTTCCTTATCCTTTTAAATTTAATACATGAAATAGTCTGGAGCTGTTTATCCTTTGCTTTTGAAATTTCATCAATTGGATTTCAATGTCAGTTGTATGTGTGTTTCAGATTCCTTATTACTATTAAAGCACAATCGGTGACTAAAGCATCAATCTTATCATTGTTATGTTCTGAGTATGACCATAAGCTCTAGCTGAACAGTTATGCGGCACAACATTAATTTAAGAATGCAGCAAAGATTAGCATTTCCTATATATGTTCTTCACTCTAACATGAGCACAGCAATCTTGTAGTAATAATGTAATATCCCCTTTGTTTAGTTTTTCTTCTTCCTCCTCTTATTTGTGTTTCCTGAGCAATATCCACACAGTCGATAATTGTTCTCCTAATGATACCCTGTTTGTCCATCCTGCTGTTTAGTGGTTTCGATAAAGGCTGAAGCGATTTGTTTTTTCTGACTTACAAATATCCTAACTTACAGGTCAAATTTCATGTGACATCTCACCACAGGCTCCGGAGATGTAGTGGTTCAAGCATTTCTTCGATGCAGCACTTGAACATGGAGCAACTAGTGAAAGCTCTTACCTCCTTATATAATCTGTACGATGCAAATAGGAAAACAGATTACATTTACGAGAATGAAGCCGAGTACCGCTCTCTCTACGTGCTTCTTCATCTTGATCCCGGCAGCCGATCTATGGTTGTACTTGTGTTTCCTAAACTGTTGTTAATGGGAGTTTTATGTCATCATTTACAACTGGCGTTGACTAAATCTGAAGCATCGGCATTTTGATCTGCAGGGGGAGCCCCTGTCTTTGTGGTTTCGTAATCTGACGTTTGCTTTAGTGAAATCCAAAGAAATATGTTTTGCACGGAAGATTTTAAGGTAAAAATCTCTGATTTCAGAATTTCCTGCTTATGCATGATTTATTATTGACTACAAATAGGGAATTTAACTTAGCATTGCTTGTGTAGTTTTGTATAAAGGAAGGATGAAAACACTGTTTTTTCCCTCGTTTTCTGTATTTTGGCAGATTGTTCCGGATGGGTAATTACAAGGATTTCTTGTGTACAATAGTTTCCGAGGCAACATACTTGCAGTTATGTGTCATGGAGCATTATATTGATGAGGTAACCTTTGCAATATATTTTTATAGCTATGCACTTATCTGGGATGATTTTACTCCAAAGCATGCCCAACTGTTAAAATGCTGTACGGCTTTGGTGTCATGTGAAAAATGAGTGACTATGAAAAGGATAAAATATACATGTGCGGGAAATAGAAAAATAGAAGGGGAATCACACGAAAAATGTTCCTCAAGTACAAGAGTGTGTGTCTAACGGTTAAAATTGCCTCTCGATTCACGGCGGTGCAATGTGTTCATTTACGGCTATCTGTCGGTTGGGTTAATGGTACCTTTTTTTTTTGTTATGTAATGGTGAAAGATGAGATCCTCGGCCGTGCAATACATAAACAGTGTAGGCTACAAGCTTCAACCCTATCCTCTCCTTCGGCTATCCGAGCTCTTGATGATGAAGGTATAACCAGAGCTATTCCCCATGACTTTTCATTATCATTCCTTTTGTTTCGTGGATTCCGAAATTTTAAATTTACGAGGGATCTCTAAAAATACCAGGAGTCGGACGTTGAATCTTTATGCAATGCGTGTGGTCTCGAGACATCTATTGACGCTGACGGGGTGAAGGTGTTGCCCGCGAAGCAAGCAACGTTCTGTCGTCCAAAGGATGTATCTGTTGGGCATAAATTGATCGGATTTGAACGGACCGAGAGGTAATCGTAAGGGGTTTTTTTTTGTTGTTTCTTGGTTCTCTGTGTTCGCAATCCTTCGCTTCGGAAATCTCCCACTTATGGCTCGTGGTTGTGCTTATAAAGATAAAACCTTTGTCTCTTATTATATCTACAAGCAATATTCTGCTGTTTCATTTCAAGACAAGCTCATCTGACCGTGCTTGCTTTCGTTGCGGTAAACAAAAGAGTTGGATTTCTGTCGTTGAATCACAAAATCAAATTACAAAACTATTTGTAATAAGTTCAGAACCTGAGATGAAGCAAAATGATTGTATCTTTAAAGTTGGTCGCAATCCCTATAATCAAAGTGAATACATTTTTTTTACAATATCTTTAAGCTGAGTTGCGAACCAAAGTAAACAACGAACTCCTGTGAGTAATTATAATATCATTTTAAAATCAAACATACTATAAAAATTAAATATAACTTTTTTTAATTGAAAAATGAGTCTAGCCCTCTGATTCCATGGAGGAGAAGCGAGAGAAAGAGAAGAGATTTCAGGCCCATAACAGCGTCACGGCAAGAAATAGCATCACAGCGAAGCCGAGACACACACCTACAATCGCCATGAAAGCCTGAAAA